TAGGGAAAAAAAACCTTTAGCAAGGACACCTTTCGAGTTCCATTTTTCTGCCCCAGCCTGTCTCCTCTTGAATATGGACATTTGTTGCAAAAAGACATGAGCCTCCCACCCCAACAAAGTGAACGAACTCTTTACTAGACTGAGTCCCTGACTCCTAGCCATCAGAGCTGGGTGAGGGTGACGTTTGCAGAACTGTAGGTGCGGGGTCTCTTCCTTAGTGAGATGGGGAGACTGAGGGTCGGAGAGAAGGGGTGCCTGCAGGGAGCAGTCCTCACTCCCCCTGAAATCCCCCCCTTCCCTGGAGGCCTGGGGAGCACTGAGGGGGGTTCTACAGGTACCTAGCCTGGACTCCCATGCCATGGGAAGCCAGCCTCATTTCCTCCCAGCCTCTTCCACCTGGCAGGGGACCTCTGACACGCCCTCCCGCGTACACCTGCCTCCCCCCACCCCAAACTATCCCAGAGCCAAGCACAGGACCTCACTTAATCCCAATTATGTAATGTGCAACCCAACAGCTGGCCAAGAAGGAGGCGCCTGGAGCCACGCCCAGGAGTGGGGGCAAAAGGCTCCGCTTGGTCAGGACCACAGACGAGGCTTGGCCTCTGCCTGCAGTGGCCTCCACTCAGCACTGTTGTAGTTTTTCTCATGACAGGGCCGAAAGCAAGCTCATCACACGAGATGAATTGTGCCGAAGCACAGCAGTAGAGGGCTGCCGCTCGCTCAGGCAAAACAGCGCCGTCTGTCCTGCTGTGGTAGCTTTTATTTAAGCATTACCTATGTTTACATTTTAAGACTTGTTTTCTTAACATTCCAGAAATGCCAAAGCAGCAACATATGCTTTTATTGATTATACAAGCAATAATGGGCTTTCTTGAAAACATGCCGTGCTTCGTCCTTGAGCGCAAAAGCAGCACAAGGACATTTCCTTGCGTTCCCACCATACTGATTATACTGAGGACATCTCATGGATCAGTGCCCAAAGCACTCAATGCTTATTAGCAGGCCCCCGGTTTGCCGGGGGTGGGGGGTGCTCAAAGCATTCAGGACTGTTTACAGTTCTGGCTTATTCGCCAGCCCCCGGTTTGCTGGGTGGGGGGGGCTCATGGGTCACGTCTCCTTTCCATGTCCTCAGTTATTCCACTACACAGCACCATGAGTGGCTGAGTTGGAGACCTGAGCCCCAAGCAGGCAGAGACCCTGGCCAAGGTGAGAGCCAGGGGAAAAGGGCTGAGAAGAGGAGGGAGGGCGGTGGCCGGAACACTGCCCCCCTCTGTTGGCTCAGCATGTCCTTGACATTGTCTCTTTGTCATCACCTCACCCAGGGTCGGGTCTCCCAGTGCCTGGTGACATCAGCCCTGTCCAGGTCAGAGGTTGAGGGAACAGTACCACTTCTGGGCAATAGTGTGGGTGCCAGATCAAGCCTGACTTCTCATCCAGGAGCCAGACCCAGAGACTTTTACCTGACATGCCCCTCCCCACCTCCCCTTAGGTGGGAGCTGAAGATGGTCTGCCCTCTGACTCTGTTCCCTTTCACTCGTCAGGACCCTGAAAGATGACCTGTCTGTAAGAGCTGAGAGATGGAGTAGAGTGTGTTGTCATCCCCACGGTCAATGGGGAAGAGGACGCATAATCCTGTAGAAAATGGGATGGAAAAAAAGACAGAAGCCTTGGTGGGCTAACACATGAAAAGAACTAAGAATACATTCATACCCAAATCTACTTACCCACCCATCCACCCATTTATCTTTTCTTCCATCCATCCTCCTACTCCCACCCACCTGTCTATCTGTCTACTCACACACCCATCTCTCCTTCTGTCCATCCACTATTCATTGATTTGCCCTTCCTTTTTCCCCATCCATCCATCCATTCTTTCTTCTTTCTATTTACTCACGCATGTATCCTTCCTTCCATTCACCTACCCATCCATCCACTCACCCATCCTCCATCACTGTGGGCCAGACTGCACTGGAAGAGAAGGAGGCAAGACGAAAACAATCACTGAGTCTGGGGCAAAGGCTCAGTGTGAAAACCTCTTCAATCAAGGTCTCTCTTCCTAGTTCCGAGAAAATGTCCAGGATGTGTTGCCTGCCCTGCCCAACCCAGATGACTGTTTCTTTCTGTGCTGGCTCTGAGGTGAGGGCAGAGGTGGGGGAGGTCACGGTGAGGGGGCAGTGAGAGGGCCCTTGTCCCAGCTGCTCCAGAAGGACCCAAGGCTCTCAGGATCCGACCATACCACCTTGCTTCACGTGTTCAGTTGCAGGAGAGGGGAGGGGACAGGAAAGGGAGGTCCCACCCAGGCCCCCAGTGCCCTCCATAGCCCCCCACTGCCCAGGACCAGGGCAAGATGACTGCAAGGCAACCTCTTTCCCACCCCATGCCTTCTTTCCATCTTCTCACAGCTCAGAATTTCGACCTGCAGAAATCAGAGGCCATGCTTCACAAGGTGAGACCCATCCCCCTCCCTGGAAATTTGGCTAGGGGCTTTGTGGGGGCAATCCCTGCCTCCAGCCCCTACCTCCATCCCCTCCTCAGGGGTGCTGGGAGCCCAGTGAGACCTTACCACTCAACTCCCTTTCAGTACATGGAGTTCTGGAAGACCATGGACATTGACCACATAGTGATTGGCAGCCCCCTGAGGTGAGCCAACACCTGCACACCCCCCAGTCCCTTATAGACTTACCATCCAAGCAGTCTCTGGATCATCGGGACCGTGAGTGGAGGGTAGCAAAGATCATGAGTGTGCAGGCACCTCTCCTATAACAATTATGACTATTTCCTGGGGGCTCATGAGGTCCAAGCATAAGTTAAGACTTTATCTGCATAATCTCATTTAATCCTCACAACCCCATGAAGTGGGTACTGTTGTCCCCATTGTACACATGAGGACACTGAAGCCCAGCAATGGTTAAGCAGCCCACCCAAAGTCCCACAGCCCCAAGGTGGAGCTGGGATTTGAGCTCAAGCTTGTCTGTCCCCCAAATCCAGGCTCTTCACCACCACAGTTAGCTCGTGGCTCTGAGCCCTCACCCCTAGGGCCTTGGTCAAAGCATCCTATCTAGGTGGGAAAGAAACTTAGCTCACCAAGAAGTTGGGGAGAAGAGTCCCACCACCGGCGTCTTAGTAAAGCAGTGGTCCTGGTTTCATTTGTGGAGCACAAGCTCTGAGTCAGGCACTGTGTGATCTTGGGGACTTTGCCACCTTGGAAAGTTACCTCACCTCCCTGAGCCTGTTTCCTCACCTATAGAACAGGGACAATAATAATGGTCGCAAAGATTGAATTAGATAATGCAAGTATGTGGCTGGCATACGGGGCCTAATTCATATTTCTCAGAATGCTAGCTACTGTGATTCCCTCTGAGTCCTTGCCCCTGTTGTTCCTCTGTCTGGATAGCCCGACCTCCAGCACACGCACTTCCCTCCCACACTTCCCTTGGCTCTCTCCTAACTATCTTTCAGGTCTCAAACTGTCACTTTCTCTGAGGTCCCCATCTGGGTTAACGTGTGTTCCCACAGCTCCCACGTTGTCCAGCTCTCACTTCAGGACCATGGGGATCTGGTTGCTTGTCAGTCTCCCCAACCAGCCTGTGAACTCTTTAAGGACAAGAACTCTGGATTATTGAGCTACATGCTATTCTTTCAGTGTCTGGCTCAAAATAGGTGCTTAATAAATATTAGTTGGACAAATGGAGGGAAGAATGGCTGAATAAACAGCAGTATGAAGGGATGGATGGGTGAACTGATGAGTGGGTGGGTCATTTAATGGGTGGATGGATAGACATGATGGGTGGGTGGATGGATGGGTAGTAAATGCATTCACTGTTTTGTCCACTCATTCATCTGAGGGCAGAGTAGGAATCTGGGAGAAGCCCTGAAGGGTCATGTGCTGGGGTCACCATCTCCCAGGTTCTGAGCCTGCACCCTGATCCTTGCTCTCATCCTCACAGCTGGGGAGGAAGATTGAGATCATTGTGATGATATTTGACTATGAAGGCCTGGGGCTGAAGCACTTCGGGAAACTCCTGGTGGAAGTGTACCAGGAGGTGGGGAAAGGCCCCTGGGCACCCCTGCTTGCTTTAACGACCAGCTTGGCCTGCTGTAACCTTGCTGCTCACTCAGAGCCAGGATCTGATAAAAGGTGATGGCCTTCCTGGGCCCCATCACTGCAGCTCAGGACCCAAAGATATGTTCGCTGGAAGATTCCCACAGAACAGGCCTCAGGGACAACACTGTACTGAGACCATAGGGGCCAGCTTCAGACAAACCCCGCCCAGCCCTGTCATCCCTAGCTCTGTGACTCAGGAGAGTCGCTTTATCCCTCTGATTCCCTCTGAGTCCTTGCCCCTGTTGTTCCTCTGTCTGGATAGCCCGACCTCCAGCACACGCACTTCCCTCCCACACTTCCCTTGGCTCTCTCCTAACTATCTTTCAGGTCTCAAACTGTCACTTTCTCTGAGGTCCCCATCTGGGTTAACGTGTGTTCCCACAGCTCCCACGTTGTCCAGCTCTCACTTCAGGACCATGGGGATCTGGTTGCTTGTCAGTCTCCCCAACCAGCCTGTGAACTCTTTAAGGACAAGAACTCTGGATTATTGAGCTACATGCTATTCTTTCAGTGTCTGGCTCAAAATAGGTGCTTAATAAATATTAGTTGGACAAATGGAGGGAAGAATGGCTGAATAAACAGCAGTATGAAGGGATGGATGGGTGAACTGATGAGTGGGTGGGTCATTTAATGGGTGGATGGATAGACATGATGGGTGGGTGGATGGATGGGTAGTAAATGCATTCACTGTTTTGTCCACTCATTCATCTGAGGGCAGAGTAGGAATCTGGGAGAAGCCCTGAAGGGTCATGTGCTGGGGTCACCATCTCCCAGGTTCTGAGCCTGCACCCTGATCCTTGCTCTCATCCTCACAGCTGGGGAGGAAGATTGAGATCATTGTGATGATATTTGACTATGAAGGCCTGGGGCTGAAGCACTTCGGGAAACTCCTGGTGGAAGTGTACCAGGAGGTGGGGAAAGGCCCCTGGGCACCCCTGCTTGCTTTAACGACCAGCTTGGCCTGCTGTAACCTTGCTGCTCACTCAGAGCCAGGATCTGATAAAAGGTGATGGCCTTCCTGGGCCCCATCACTGCAGCTCAGGACCCAAAGATATGTTCGCTGGAAGATTCCCACAGAACAGGCCTCAGGGACAACACTGTACTGAGACCATAGGGGCCAGCTTCAGACAAACCCCGCCCAGCCCTGTCATCCCTAGCTCTGTGACTCAGGAGAGTCGCTTTATCCCTCCATGCTTCATTTTCCTCACTTACAAAATGGGGGTACTGATTGCACTTCAAAGGGATGTAGGGAAATTTCAGTGAGTTGTTATGTAAAGTGTATACACAAGTGCTTGGCAAATAGTGAACGTTTAATAAACAGTAAACGTTTCATTTACTATTACATAAATTATTATATACTACCGTTGCTATAACATTTACTCTAAAAATGATTATTGTTATGTAATTACTATTAGGTTATGGTTGCAATAGTCTGGGGTGAGATTTCCTCCAGGGGCCATGGAGGTGATGGAAAGAAGGGAAACCCTACACAGCCCTCTGAATCCTCCAGAGGGGAGGTTGCAAAGGGAATGGGGGTAGGAGAAGAAGAGGTGTGGGCTCTCATGGGGTCTTTCTTGGTTCCACAGTTCTTCGGCCTCCTTGAAGAGAATTACCCAGAGACCCTGAAGTTCATGTTCATTGTGAAAGGTGTGTGGCAGGTGACTTCACTCCCCTGTGCCTCCAATTCCTTATCTGCACCCTGGGGACAATACTAGTGCCTTTTTCCTTGGATAGCAGTGAGGCAGGTTGGTTGCTTGGCTGCATGCAAATCAGAGTGCCTGAAACAGAATAACTTCTCCATAAATGGTAACTTCTATGGTTGGCTTTACTGCAAGAAGAGGCAGCTCCAGTCTCAGTTCTTCCAGGAATCCCCCCTCACCTTTCCCACCCATGTTGATCTCTCCCTCATCAAACTGCCTCTGGCACTGGCAGCTGGTGCAGCCCAGTCTGGCCTTTCCTGTCAACTGCTTTCTGGGGCCTCCAGTTGTCTTGTGTGTATTCATCCTATTTTCCTTGGGTTGTCTGCTCCTTGAAGGCAGGGCCTCTGATTCTCCACTTCTGTTGTATCCCTCACAGTCCTGGGGCCAGGTGGAAACTCAATAGGTATTTGGGTGGTTGTTGTTTGGGTGGGTGGGCGGATAGAAAGATGGATATATGTTTGATGGGTGACTGGTTGATTCATTGCTTAGTTTTTGTTTATTTGACTGGCAAGTTGTGTAGCTGGCTGGTTGACTGGTGGTTAGTTGGATATCTAGTTGTCTGGTTGGATAGTTGTTAGCTTGGTAGACTGACTGAGTGACTAGTTAGCATTTTGATTGCCTATGTGGGTGAGTGGCTGGTTGGCAGATTGGTTAGTTGGTTGGCTGATTTGTTGCTTGGCTGTATCTTGGATGGTTGATTGCTGGTTGTTTGAATGTTGGCTGGTTGGTTATTTGAATGGTTGACTGACTGGAAGAGGTGGTTGGTTGGGCAGTTAGCTGGTTGTTTAATTAGCTGATTGGTTTACTGATTGGCTGACATGTTGATTGGTTGTTTGACTATTTGGTAGGTTGGCTGTTTGATTGGTAGGCTGATTGATGGGTTGGTGAGAAGGTGAATTGATTGGCTATTTTTTGGCTGGTTTGCTGGCTGTTTGATACATTGGATGATTGATTGGGTGGTTGGTTAGTTGGCTGCTTGTTGTTTTAGTTGACCGATTGGTTGGATGGTTTGTCAGGTGCAGGGCATTGGAACTTGGCAAGGTAACTCATGATTCCTCCACATTGTTGGCTATGACTGTTATGGAGAGAGTGGCCCAGTGGAATTATCTTTTCCCCATTATACTTGCTTATATCTCTCCAGCCACCAAACTGTTCCCTGTGGGATACAACCTCATGAAGCCCTTCTTGAGTGAGGACACTCACAGGAAAATTATAGTGTTGGGAAATAAGTAATTCCAGCTCCATCCCCTAAGCTCTACGTATGAACATTGGAGTAAGTTTGGTCCATCACCCCCTCCAGAGATACACATATCACCTAAAGTCAGAGGCTCCTCCTTCTCAAAGATGAAATGGGTCTTACACTATAGAGTCTATCCTGTTACCTCTATCTTACTCCCTGCCATACCTCTTTGGTGACTAAAACCTCCACATCTTTCTCCTTATCAGTTTCAGTTTGGTTGCTAGTCAACCTCTGGGCTATGGGCATCAGTTTCTTTTCAACACTCATCGCCTCAGTGCTTCTAAAGGCAATTTGGGCTGAAGAGGATGAGGAAGAAGAGCAGGAAGAGGAGAAGTGATTCAGAGAAGGAATGCTCAGTAAGGAGGGACTGGATAAGTAAATAACAATGCGTCCATTTGATGAATTATTGGGCAGCCATGAAAAGTGATTTGATGTCATGGGAAATGTCATTAAGTTAAAAGAAAAATAGATTATAAAGTGGTGTGGATAGTATGGTCTTATTTTTATAAAAACAAGAATATATTTCTAGAAGGAAATACAACCAAATAATTTGTGGTTAGCAAGAAATCAGGTGGTTTATATATTTTTTTATATTTCTGTACTTTCTAAACTTTCAGAATTACATGTATTACCTTTATAAGTGGGAAAAAAATGTTTTAATGATAGAAAAAAAAATAGAGAAGGGAAATAGTTCTTAAACTCAACCGGTGACCCTGAGCTTGGAGGATAACATCTCGTAATCAGAATGGTCAGATCATCAAATCAGGAGATCTGAGGATCCAGGGGGATGGGGATGAATCTAACAAATCCCTGTTTTCTCTCCCTTTCTGATACCTGAGTTCCTGCCTCTGCCTAGATCCACTGGGGTAGGGAGCTGGGTGGATCACAAGGTAGCCCCCAAATCCTGGAGCAGTGTGGGTAACTGCCACACTCCAGACCCACATCGAGGCCTCTGCCCCATTTGGTGGCGCACAGGATTCTGTGCATTTGGCTGTGAGATGCCAGGCATTATGGTCTTCCTTCTCATCCCACTGGTATTTCCCATGGCCACAGCAGGGGATAACTTGAATTGGCTATAGGGTGGGGCCATGGTGACACCCCAGGATCCAGAACACTTAGAGCTTTTCATAGGGCGTGAAGAACAATAATGGGCATTATGATTGTGGTGATTAAGCAGCAGGGAGGGGGAGGTCCTTTCAAAGACCCAGGGCTGTCCATCTCCACCCAGAGGTCTGACTTGCGTATGCCACTTGCACACAGTGTGGCCCCTGACATGGTCCTTGACCTCATTAGCCTCCTTGAAACAATTAGACAACTCTAATCATGACTGCTTATAACTGGGAGACCCTCAAAAATGTGCAAACCCATCAGCCAGGGAAAACGTTTCCATAGCAACACAGTGCTGGAAGACATTTTTGCAGCCTAAGGCCTGGGGGCCTTGGGAATGGGCCCTGGCAGCCTAGCTCCTGTAGGGCTTCTCCCCAAGGTCAGGTCCTCCTGGTAAGAGGGGGGCTGATGGGTCCCTTCCGTGCTCAATAGTCACCCTTCAACCCCTCTCCCCACAGACAACTGGAAGAAAGGTTTGCTAAAACTCATCAGTCCTGAAGAACTGCCAGCCCAGTTTGGGGGGACCCTGACCGACACAGATGGGAACCCCAAATATTTAACTAAGGTATGAAGAGCCCCAGAACAGGGGAGGGTAGAGGAGTAGAGCTCGGTTTCTTTCTCACCCACTCATTCATTCCACAAATGTCTATGGAGAAACCCCTGTGAGCCAGGTATTGAGTTAGTCCCAGCCCTGCCCTGACAGAGTTCTCAGCAACTGTGCAAGCAAACAAGAAATGGGGAAATTTTGACCCAGAGGGATGAGCTGGGAGGGGAAGTTCCCAGAAGAGGCCCTGATTGAGGTTGGAGGGACACAGGAGGCTTCCCAGGGTGGGGGGGGATGGGTAGGGGAGGACAGGATGAGCAGGATACTTCCAGGAGATGGGGAAATATCTCAGGCAGGAGAAACAGCATGAACAATGCAAGAGGGGGGGGAGCAAGCCCATCTTGCTCTGTTTCTGCAAATCAGCTATGGTGGGGAGATCCCCAAGTCCACGTACATGTGGGACCAGGTGAAGACTCAGTACGAGCACTTGGTGCAGATCAGCCGCAGCTCCTCGCACCAGGTGGAGTACCAGATCCTGTTCCCAGGCTGTGTCCTCAGGTAAGGAACAGGCCACCAACCCACCCCTGCCTGGGCCCTAGCCCCTCAGGGACCCTTCAGCCTGAGCAGTGACCTGTTCCCCTCCTTCACCCAACACAGGTGGCAGTTCTCATCTGATGGTGAAGACATTGGCTTCGGGGTTTTCCTGAAGACCCAGATGGGGGAGTGGCAGTGGGTTGGGTTGATGATGGAGGTGCAGCTCAACCAGCACTACAACGCCCACCTGGTGCCCAAGGATGGGAGCCTCGCCTGCACAGAAGCTGGCGTCTGTAAGTCTGCCCTTGCTGGGCCCCAGCCCTGGAAGGTTGGAGCCACCTGTGCCATGGTTTATAGGAAGAAACAGAAGGGTGGTGACCACCCCGCCACCAAGGAACATACACCCTAGGTCAGTGCCATTCATCCATACAGTCACTCTTTCGGTTCACACTTGAGAGCACCTATCGTGTGCCAGAAGGGGCTGAGAGCACTCAGGCCGCAGGACACAGGCAAGGGACAATAGGGCAGTGACATTCCCCAGGAGGAAACTGGGCCTCTGAGAGTTAAATCAGCTTGTCCAGAGGCACACAGCTGAGTGTGGTACCAGGGTCCCACTTCAGCCTCGTGGTAGCTGCATAACCCTGAGCAAAAGTCTTACTGAGCACAGGTTTGCTCACCTGTGAAGCAGAGGCTACAACTCCTACCTCTCGGGTGCCTGTAATGAGGCAGAAGGCATGCACAGGCCTCGCCCTGCACCCCACTTCATCAAGGGGCCTGGGAGGCCTCTGATGTTCTGAAATGCCCCCCTCGCACACCTGTCATGTGACTGTCCAGGTGTGGACACAATGGGAGGCAGTGACTATTGTTCTCATCGCCAGTTGGTGCAACTAAAGCCAGGCTGGGCACATGCCAGGAGGAGGTCAATTTCTGTTTACAGGCCCTGCTCAGGAATGGCAGTTCCCATGGGGAAGGGAACAGCAGTCGGGGGAACTTGGTCCAGCTTGGCAAATACAACAGGTGGGAACACAGCCTGTTCTCCCCCATGGCCAGGGCAGGGCGCAGGGAGTGTGTGAAGCCAAGCCAAACTACCCGTCTGTCCATCTATCCCCCCAGATGTCCTGCGCTTTGACAATACCTATAGCTTTGTCCACACCAAGAAGGTCAGCTTCACAGTGTAGGTGCTGCTTCCGGACGAGGGCATGCAGAAATAAGACAAGGAGTTCACCCCTGTCTAGGCAGCTCCCTCACTTCCAAGAGACCCCTGACCCTCTGCTTTCGGCCTATATAGCCTACTCTTCCCCCAGAAATTGCTCAGTAGTACTCTTTTGACTCTGTGACACTAGTAAGTAAAGAAACGGCTGCCTTGGGGAAAATGCATATGCTGTGGTCAGATCAGGAAAGGTACGAGAGGCACAGCTTTGGAGAATGCCGAGGTTGCAGAAAAGGAAGAAGCAAGGGTAAGAACAAGTGGATGTCCCTGAAACCCCCAAAATAGGAAAACAAGTCTCCTAGCCTTTGTCCTCACTTCTGAGGCATTTGTGTGCTTGAATTTTTTCTCCATGAGTTATCAGCAACCTGGGTTGGAGATGTATCTAAATTCTTTTTACTGCTACTCCTTATATAATATATGCTCAATATATACTTGTGAAGTTGAATGGAGGTAGGGAGCAAGTGATTCATGGGTGAGCATATAAGAAGTACTAGGGGAGATTTCAGCACCTCGGACAGGGACAGAGCCATGGAGGGGATGGACTCTCTTGGAGACCCAGGTGACCTAGCCCCCAGATCTATGGCAGTGGCTGCCCCCTTGGGTAGGTAGGAGCTGCCTAGAGAAAGCTTTGTCTGACTCAGAGCACACAGCTTCCCCAACCCATCTCTACCACCCTCACCGCCTTCCCTTGCAACTCACAGCTTATGTTTTAAGCAATTAAAGGCACTTTCCTAGAAGAAGCAAAGGAAGTCACATCTGGCTCTAGCTGCTGCCTGGCGATAATAAAAAAAAAACCACAGCTGTCATTCGGTGAGTGCTTTCTACGCACCAAATACAGTGCCAAGTGCTTTGTGAGTTTAGCCCATTTCACTCTCACGCCTGCCCTGAGGCCACGTATCATGGACACCTATGCATAAGGAAACCAAGGCTTAGAGAGGTGAAGTCACTCACCCAACATCATACAACTCTTTTTTTTTTCTTTTTTTGGCTGTGCCACACAGCTTGCGGGATCTTAGTTCCCTGACAAGGGATCAAACCCATGCCCTCTTAAGTGGCAGATCCAAGACCTGTTTGTTTGGTTTTTTTCACTCCAAAGACATTGCTCTTAATTGCCCTATAATACTGCTTCCTAAGACCCTACTTTTACAAAGAAGGAGAGAAGGAATGACTTGTTTGTCCTTGATCGTCCAGTGGAAGTGTCTTGGATGTCACCCTCTCCAATCTCAGTTTGTGGTCAGAGGAGGTGTTATGCCCATTGGGCAGCTGGAACAATGGAGACCCGCAATGCTAATTAAGCAGCTCCTCCAAGGAAACAGCAGAGGGGGCAGGGCTTGTGCTTCAAAGCCCAGCATCCGGTACACTGTTCATATGGTCTCTGAGAAGCGTGGACTCTTGCCATCTACCAAGACACTGGGCGACTAGAGGAGACACCAGGGCCCCAGGACGTTCTTGCTCCAGGGACATGGCCTCAGGGACATGGAGCTGCTGGCTTGAGCCCCAGGTCCTGACATCTCTTGACAGGAGGAGTCGAATTACACAGAGACTGAGGATGGTTAGGAACCAAAGGACTTGAAGTTCCTTGGGAATGAGCTGAGGGCCGAGCCCACTGCGGTGAGCTTACCCATGGGCAGAACAGGAGGCCTGACTCTTAGACTTATCAAACTAATGTTCAACAGCAGCTAGTACTTTCCATCTGCACTTATGGACACATTTTATAGATGAAAAACAGCTCCCAAAATGCACTGGCCTTGTTTCCTTCAGCCCATGGGTGGCAGAAATAGGACTGGAGCTAAAGGCACCCTCCTCCCACCACTAATTCACGTTACTGCAGCAACTTGCCAGAACAGGACAAGACTGCCGACTCTCTGAGCTGGGGGCTGGGGTGGGGGTGTGGATAGGAAGGAGGAAAAGAAGAAAGGTTGTCAGATTTAGAAGAAGAAAAAAGGCAATACTTGGGACATACTTAAAATGTATTGTTAATCTGAAACTAAAATCTAACTGAGTGTCCTATATTTTATCTGGCCGCCCTACAAATAAGGAATGAGAGAGAGGAGAGGGACGCGGGGAGGCAGAGAAGAGAAGGATGGGTTCATACTCTTCGAAGATGGTGGCAGCACCTGCAGTTGGGGCAAGGATGTCATGGGGGAAGGATGGCTCAGCGTCGGGGATACAGCGTGGAGGGACAGGGGGTCTCACCCTTGCCCTCTGAGGTAAAGACCCCACCCCCAGGCTGCAGCAGGGGCAGAGGATGAAGGGGTGGACCCTTTGCACCCTTGAGGCTGAGGCAGCTGTGAGCAGTGCTGTTGGATGATCTGCATTTGTCTAAGCTCCTCTACTGCAGCTTATGGACCCCATTTTGAACAGAGTGGGAACTTGCTACCAGGAGGCAGGGGCAGCGCAGAGAGCTTAGGCTAGGGCTGGAGCCAAGAACCAAAAAGTGCCCCTGGGTATCCGTGGATGCCCAGCCACAGCAAACCCACTCCTACTCCGTAGCCACAGTCGGTGGGAAGCAGCCCTCCAGCTCCCAGCCTCCAGGTCTCCAGTCTCACCCAGGGGCAGGATGCTTTGCTCCAGTTCTGAGTGTCCAGGAGGTGGCTGGGGAGGGAAAAAGACCCTACTTAGCCTTGGCTAATGGGCCCCCTCATTCCAGCAGCAGTCAGTAACCAGTATAGTGGCAGGAAGACCAAGGCCTGCAGGCTCCCCACTGTGTGTGAAGGGAAGTAAAGTCCCAGTTCCCAAAGCCCAGAAATGCCAGGGAAGAGACAGGGAAGGAAAGACCTCAGCTGCCCTTGGGAGGCAAAGATGGTGACCACAGCCTGTTTCCCTTAAAAGAGGGGGTTCAAATTTGGCAGCTGAGGCCGAAAGTCTGGGCCAGTTAACCTTGTAGACCCCAGGCCAGGGCAACCTTCTGTCCTGATGCTAATTAGGCACCAGACCCCATCCTCTTCCCCTGGAACCCAGCACTGCCGCAGCCTCTCCAGAGAATCCACTTTCACATCCACACAGTTAAGGTCAGCTTTGCCCCCCAGCACATGGTACAAACACAAACAAGTACCAGAGGGAGTTAAGACCAGAGCACTAGAGAAGTAGAAAGCTTTATCGTGTGTATATAAAGGGTGATTTAGTGGTCTTCTGAAGGGCCCCCTGACTCCCTGATTTCCTCAGCGGTTATCTGGGACACTCCATCAGTCTCCTCCTCCAAAGACAGTCTCTCCATTGCCCTGGCCACCGACTGCCTCTCCTCAGTGTCTGGCCTGGTCCAGGCCCGCCTCAGTGTGTTCCCCAGCCAGCCTAGTGGGCAGCTCAGCTGGAAAGCCTCCAACACCTTCCTCAGGGACAGCAGGATCAGGATCAACAGCAGAGTGACGCAGCTGACGGCCAGAACCACTGCCAGCAAGTCCTTCAGCATCTTACAGGAGGCTGGGAAGGACGGGGCCGGGAAGCACCTCAGGGCTGCCCAGTGGTATGGGGCAGGCTGTGCAGGGCAGCTGGAAGTGACCCTGAGCCCACAGTTACTCATCAAGGTAAAAAAAGAAAAGCCAGGAGCAGGCAGGGAAGCTGGAGATGGGACAGGGCAGAGGGGACAGGACCACAAATGAGTATCTGTGAACCTGGATGGTGGTGGGACCAGTTCTCTCAGTCCTTGTCCTGGTTTTCCTGTACCAAGGAGAGGCCACCTACATTTCCAGGATAAGGATTTCCCATGATGTGGGTGAAGCATCCAGGTACGGAGCTAGCTGAGGCCTTTCATCTCTCCCAGTTACCCAGCTTCCAGAACCCAAGGCCTGTGCATTATGGCAGCCAACACTTTCATTTCAGAGAAATGGGGAAGGAGTTTGCCCAGGTTCCCACAGCTTGAAACAGGAAGTACTCACCTGTAGGACGTGTTGTTGTAAAAACAGGATTTCTGGCCAGGCTCAGAGGGTCTCTTCCAACTCCAGATGCTCATCCAGCAGATGATATATATATACTTAAGGAAGAACCTAGGCCCCCAGCCCCAGGTGAGAGGGCTCCCACGCCCCCCAACACAACCACCTGTGTTGAACTACGTTATGCCTCATTTATCCAACTGGGCACTGCAGGGAGAAGCCAGGTCAGCCTGTGACTGTCACAGCCCCAGCCCATAATAGGTCCTTAGAGGGAGAGAAAATTCTCCTGATTTTCCCTTACCCATGGGCATTTCCTCACTGCAACCCTGGTTTAGAACAGGGGCAGATTGGAACCCATGGGTAGTTTCTGCCATAGGGCACTGGTTAAGTTACAACTCGACCAGACTGGAATTCTACATAGCTGTTAACATTCATGGGAGAATACAAAAATGTATTCTCCTGGGAATTCCCTGGCAGTCCAGTGGTTAGGACTGCATTTCCACTGCAGGGGGCATGGGTTCAATCCCTGGTCAGAGAACTAAGATCCCACTAGCCACGTCAAAAACTAAGATCCCACTAGCTCCAGGATTTTTTTGACCCACTAGTCAAAAAAGTATTCTCCCATGCAGAGAAATGGGATATTCAGTGGGAGGAAAACAAATTCTATCATGGCATATGCAGACCTATTTTATAAAACACTAACTTAGTATATGCCCAAGGACTGGTGATTCTCAGGGCTTCAGGATTTTCATTTTCTGTTCTATATATGATTTAACAGGTAACATTGAGAACAGCTCTTAAAAGGAAGCGAAAAAGTGTAGTGTATGACTCTTATAAACAGGCGTACAGACAGAAAATTCTAGTGTCATCTTGGGATAATCTCCAAGCAGCGTTAATTGTTTTTTGTGCATCTGTATCTCCCGTGATGCGAGTATCTTACTGTAAAGAAAGGAAGCTTCAAGTTGCCCCAGGCTGCCAGCATCCTTTGGGACAGAGGCCACAGTGCCCAGGTTCCTCCATCCTAATCACATCTATCAAAATCTCTTTGGGGTGAGTGGGCCTTCCCAGCCCCCCGTGTAATCCTTGGGCCAGGCTTGATCTCAGACTTGTTCCTGCACATGGAAATGAGAGACTCCCAGGGCCTCGCCTTTTGGTC